TATCCTGGAAAATTTTGTTTTGTCCATTTATAGTGAACGAAAGCTTGGCTGGGTATAGTAGTCCGGGCTTGCATCCATGGTCTCTTAATTTCTGAAGAACATCTATCCAGGACCTTCTGGCTTTCATGGTTTCCATAGAGAATTCAGGTGTAAGTCTGATAGGTTTACCTTTATAAGTAACTTGGCCCTTTTCCTTTGCAGATCTTAATATTCTTTCTTTATTCTGTATGCTTTGTGTTTTGATAATTATATGGCGAGGGGATGTTTTTTTGATCCAGCCTATTCGGTGTTCTGTATGCTTCTTGAGTCTTCATAGTACATCTTTCTTTAGGTTGGGAAAGTTTTCTTCTATAATTTTATTAAATATATTTTCTGTACCGTTGAGCTGCACTTCTTCTCCTTTTTCTACTACTATTATTCTTAGGTTTGTTCTTCTTATTGTGTACCAGATTTCCTGAATATTTTGTGATGAGAGTTTGTTGGGCTTGCTGTTTTCTTTGAACAGTACGTTTATTTTCTCTATGTTATCTTCAGAATCTGAGATTCTTTCTTCTATCTCTTGTATTCTTCTGGTTATGCTTGTTTCTGTAGTTTCTATGCGTTTACCTAGATTTTCCATGTCCAGCCGGCCCTCTGTTTGTGTTTTCTTCCTTGTCTCCAATTCAGTTTTCTAGTCTTGAACTGTTTCCATTATCTTTTTGATTCTTTTTCCTTGGTTTTCTAGGGTATCATTCACTGATTTATTCAATTCTTCAAACTTTCTGTTATACTTTTCATCCATTTCTATAAGGGCATTTTTTACATGCTGTTTAAGGACGTCAATCACTTTCATAAAGTCCATTTTTTTCTACTTCTCCTCAATTAAGGTGTTCATGTCCTCCTGTTGTGAAGTCGCTGGGTTCTGGTGGTTTCATTTTGTTTTTCAGATTGTTGGGTGAATTTTTGCATTGGTGCCTGCCCCTCTCTTCCTCTGAATGTTCCCCTAAGGATCTTCTTTCATAGGATCAGGTCTCCTTGCCCACTGTTGTCCCTTCCCAGTGATGGCAATCTCCTGTGATGGCTCTTTAGGTGCCCCAGTGATGGCTCTCCTGGTGCCCAGATCAGATCTCCGTGCTGGTTGGGTAGCTCATAAACAAAGGGCCTACCTTACTTGGTGCAGTTAGGCTATTGAAACAAAGGAACTCCTGCCCGCTTGGTTGCCCTGAGGACTCAGACCCAGCACCCAGACAGGCTGAGCTGGGTGATGTTATGTGCCCAAAGACGGCAGGGATGCCGAAGTGGGGAGGGTTCTGGATGCATTCTGGGTGAGATAGGAAGAGAGAGGCAGTATGCAGGAGTATAGGCACTGCAAGAAATAGTTCCTTGTCCTGGGCTGCTGCTGCTGGTCAGAAACTCACTCACCCCAGAGATGGATTTCTTGGTGCCCAGATCCCAAAATCTTTTGTCTGAATCTCCCCAAAAGAGACAAAGGCCAAAGAAATTATCATACTAGGATACCTCTATTTTTTGATTTATGCATAGTTTTGTATTGGGTTGAACATTTCAGGAAAAACTCAGATAAGATTTACACACTTAAAACAGAAGGATGTGAACACAAAAGGTAACAATCACAAAAGGTAGATCAAAGCCAAGGGGTTAACACTGGGGTATACAAGCCAGCTGCAATGCTCTGCAGGAACTCTGCACACAACCAGCAACAACTTCTTCTAGCTGACAATGACGCCTGTGGGAGGGAGCTGTGAATGAGTTCACAGTACTCAGTAAAACCCCTATTGGTTCAAATGGCATGATTCATCACTTAAATCAGGTCAGGAACAACAGCTACCAAAGAAATCTATAGGAAGGAGACAGTATAGCCATGTGACATGCTTGGCATGAGAACTTACAAGGGTAGAAAACAAAAGCAGAGTCTGGGATGGAAATATCTCCTTAGAAATGGATGAGATGAAATACTTGGTACATACACCCAATGTGGGAGTTTTACAGCAAATACATTTTTATTATTGAAGGTTATTACATGCATAAAATATGATTGATCATGTTCACCACATACTCCAGGGGAATTTTTCTTTCCTTTTATGAGATATTGCCTGATATAGTTTAGGCTGACCCAAAACTCATTACATAATAAGAATATCCTTAAAATCCTGATACTCTTACTTCTACCTCCTAGAATGCTGAAGTCCAAGACTTGAGTCACAACATCAAATGTGTGCAGTACTGTGAAATAAACCCAGACATCTAAGACTGTCACACAAGGACTCTATGAACTGAACATTATTCTTATTTAACAAATTACATACATAGACAGACTTACAAGATGGTAATTATTCATATTAACATTTATTCAGAGAGGAAATTAAGGGTGTCTTTTAGGCTCTGTAACTAAATGGGGAAATACTCAGTGACCTTTATCTCATTCTCCATGTGACAAACAGGACTTGTGTGTGCCTGACACAATCTTTGAGGTGATGATAAGTAGGAGAATTGGCCCCATGTGGCACATTCCTGACATGGAATCGTTACTGAAGAGAATGTGGAAAAATGGTAAGATCCACAGGTGGTAGATGATGTCAATAAACAATTTTCTGGTCACTGAAGAATAGTGGATCATCTGAGTTCAGAGTGATTGTAAGGATATCTACAAGCCTAATGTAAGTTCAATGAACAACAAATCCAGTATGTGGATGAGAGATGGGCACAAAGTCCCACCCACAGATGAAGAGCTATTGGCATTGATGCCTACTGGGAGAGGGAAAGCCAGTTATCTTTAATGGTGTGGCCCCTGGAACTATGCCCAAGATTAAGAGAAGCACAAATTGAACTGCATGGGAGGAAGAGAACAGAAAGTTGGGTGTGTAAGACAGGAAAGTGGATTTTCAACCATTAGCAAGACCCAGAAGGAATAAAAGCAAAACAAGTCAGTGAGGAAGGATCCAATCTGAGAGGGTGAGGAGGAAGGGGAAGGGTGGACGGTGGACTCATCCAAAACACAATGCATACTGACATGACATTTTCAAATAAGTGAAAAATCAAACACATGGCCATGCGTGGTGGCCCACATCTTTAATCTAAACAGAAAGCAGGGGCAGGAGAATTTCTGTGAGTTCCAGACCAGCCCATCCTACATAACCAGTTCCAGAACAACCAGGGCTCCACTGAGAGAGCCTGTTTCTAATCAACATCAATAATAATCAAACATATGAGCATAAGAAAAATTTAACATGTGAAATAAATTTAAATTAATATCTGAAATTGAAAATTGGAGGAAAAAGCTGCTGTGGCTCAAGCATAGAGTATGGCTCAGAAGTAGAATATTGGAGATTCTGGCATCTGTCTCTAGTACCAAAAGTAAAGGGAAATAAACTATGTTTATTGAACTCTTTTTTTTTCAACTAGGTGGTAGAACAGACACAAAGATGAAATCTTCGGCAAGTTGGCAAGCCCTTGAAGGGCAAGACTATGACTCCTGAGCTCCAACTCAGTGACTCCATGAACAGTGTCAAGACTAAGATCAAGATATCTCCTGATGATTGGTGGTTGGTATTTGCTGCCAGCAGATAGAGATTGGCTGCACCCTGTCCAACAGGAAAGTCCAAAACGATTCCCACCCTTCACCAGGTGCTGTACATGTGTGATAATAGAGCCACCCCTTTGGCAGTTTCTTTAGAAGTAAAACTATGACAAGGCCATGCACTGCTTAGTAGAAGGATGAGCTTCTTGTTCATCCAGGCCGCCCAGAACTGAAATAATCACACAGAAATTGTATTAATTAAATCACTGCTTGTCCCATTAGCTCTGGCTTCTTATTGGCTAACTCTTACAACTTAATTTCACCCATTTCTATTAATCTATATATCACCATGAAGTTGGCCTACTAGCAAAGTTCCAGCATGTCCTCTCCGGTGGCAGATCCATGACCTCCCCTGACCTCGTCTTTCTCTCACGGCATTCACTCCAGTCCCTCCACCTACCTAAGTTCTGCCCTAACAAAAGGGCAAGGCAGTTTCTTTGTTCATTAATGATAATCACATCACACAGAGGAGACTCCCAGATCACTGCTGCCCACAAGGTCTGCCCACACTTGAACCCGTGAGCAGGCAAATGCCTCCAGACCAACAACCAGCACACCAAGAAAATTAAAGAATGCCTGGACCTTGGTTGTCCCAGGACACCCAGACCCAGCACCTTTCTTTATTTTTTGCCTGAGCAGAAGGACACAGGAAAGTGATGATGCTAAGACTGAGCTACTGACAAGGATCAGTGTATAAGTGCTGCTGCCAACCTTCATTCCTGACTCGGATCCACAAGGAGATAACTGCCTCTGTAGCTGTCCTCTGACCTCCAAGCAGTACTGTGGCACATGTAAATATACACCAATGAAGAAAAAGTAAGTGTAATATATTATTATTAACTATGTGTAATTTAAAGAAATAAGTGTAAATAAACAAGTATAATTTAAAATTGTAGCGAAAAGTACACATATCATAAAAAACACCCAAATATGGATGCATATGTGCAATTCAACACTTTAGAAAATGAGGAAGGAGATTATAAATTTTATTATACACAGCAAGATCCTTCACAGAAACCTTCAAACATGAAAAAGTATTTCACAAAAAAATGTGAAAAGGAATAATGCAAACCTAAATGTGAATTTGTATTTCTTGTATGTAATATTCATATCGGCCTCATAATTTATCAGTTCTATGTGGAACTGGCAGAGATGAGAACAGATGAAACAGACACTGACAGGATTGTTGAAACGTCATCCATAAAAGAATTCATTGCAGAGTGTACTACCTGACCTAGTCACAGCCTGGAGGAAAACAGAGCCTGGTGCATGAAGAGGGCAGTTCCATTTCCTGTGGTGCTGCACCAGTAAACCGTGTCATACAGAATGTTTGCCCCCAGAGGCCACACCCCGTATTTCCTGTCTCTCCAGGCAGTCTCTGTACCTCTGCCCATGAACACAGTTGCAGCTTCCAGAAAAAGATGCCATGACCTTGACGTTCACAGCTCTGCTATGTGTGGGTGAGATGTGGAGATGGGGAGGGGATACTGTGGTCTAGGATTGATGCTGTCCCACAGCCCAGCAGTGGCCCATCAGGAAACAACACAGTTTCAGGAGGATCCTGCAGAGGGGAGGACCTGCTCAAGCTTCAGGGACAAACCTCTCACAGAGAACTCTCTTCCAGGACTTACTCTGGGCCTCAGGACCCCAGTGCTCGAAGGTGAGTGGCTGCAGATGTCCTGACCTGCACTTCCCATCATTCCCAGAAGCCATGCCTGGGCAGGGAGCCTGAAAAACAATAGATGTGTGCTAAACCTGGGGGCGGCTGTGCAGGTGGGGTTGGAGTCTGCAATCTGAAGATGGCTGTCCTTGGTTTTAGCTGTTCTTTTCCATGCAGGAACCTCCTCTAAACCTATCCTCAGAATACAGCCAGACTCTGTGGTCTCTGAGCAGACTTCAGTGACCTTCTTGTGTATTGGGACTGTGGAAGCCAAAGAGTACAGGCTCCTTAAAGAGGTAGACCAACGTCAAACACATGCAATGATTCCACAGAACCCTAAGAACCGGGCAGAATTCTCAATCTCCAAAGTATATCGTCAACATGCAGGGCAATATTACTGTTGCTATTGGACCTATGATCAATGGTCAGAGTACAGTAACTCTCTGGAGCTTGTGGTGACAGGTGAGAGGCTTGGCTGTCAAGAAGTGGGTCTGTTCACAGTATTTCTCCCTTCACACGATAGAAGATATTGAGCCCTTGAGGAAATTTCACTGATTCTTCCATCCCTCCTAGGAGTCTACAGTAAACCCAGCCTGTCAGCCCTGCCCAGCCCTGTGGTGACTGAAGGAGGGACTGTCACCCTCCAGTGTGCCTCAAGTCAGCAATATCACAGGTTACTTCTGACTAACAAAGGATCACAGAAACAGTCCTTTACTAAAGACTCGCCATATAATTACTCTACTAGACAGTTCCAGGCTCAATTCTCTGTGGGTCCTGTGACCTCCAGTCAAAGATGGACATTCACGTGCTACAGCTATCACAGTTACAGCCCACAGGTGTGGTCAGAACCTAGTGACACCCTGGAGCTCCTGGTCTCAGGTGAGGAACCCCAACTTTCCATTTAATGATATTGAAATTATACAGGTGTTCAGGGAGTACTTGGTGCGTGGTGTGTGTGAGGAGCCAGGGCTCCTGAGCCCATTCACAGAAAGCACATGAGACAGTGGAGAAAAGATACAGAGTCCAAGGCAGAGAGTAGCAGGAGGTACAGGCCAGAAATGAATCTTCATGGAGCCATCTGTTATTCTGGATCATATCAAATAGCATCCACAAGAGTTCAGGAAAACCTAAGAAGACAGAGAGGAGGGATTATTGGAGCCAAAGTACTCAGGACACCAGAAGAACATGAACCACAGAATCAAATAAACAGGAGTCATGGGCTCACAAAGACTGAGGCAACAAACTCAGAGGCTGCATTGTTCTGCTCTAGGCCCTCTGCACACATGTTGTGGTTGTTTACCTTGGGTTTTTTGATTTGTTTTGTCTTTTAGAATTTCGCTGTGGTGTTGTGAGGGTCCTGAACCTCACTCTGTAGGCCAGGTTTGCCTTGACCCTCACGGAGATGGGCCTGCGTCTACCTCCTAGTGCTGGGAATAAAGGCCTGCACCACTACTGCCTGGCTAGCTTAGGGTTTTTGTTAGAACCATAATAGTTGGAGCTGGGAAGTCTCTGACTTTTTTTAATGCATTGGGATTTTTTTTTCTTCTACTGGGTTGCCTTGGTTAGGCTTAATATGAGGGTGTGTGCCTAGCTATTGTTATTCCATATTTGGTTAATATCATTGGCAAGCCCGCTCTTCTCTAAGAGAAAAAGAAGAGCAGTGGATCTGGGGGTGGGGTGGGGTATGGGATATGGGGAGGCTGCTGTCAAGATGTATTGTATGACATAAGAATAAATTTAAAAGAAAACAAGTGCCATCTGCATGTAGGTCTTTCTCTGTGCCACTTTCAGACAGGAACAACTTTTTCTCTCCTACTTCCTTGCAGGGACCCTCCACAAACCCATCATCAAGGCTGAACCAGGATCCATTGTAGCCTCAGGAATACTCATGACCATCTGGTGTCAGGGGACCCTGGATGCAGAAATCTATGTTCTACAAAAAGAGGGAAGCCAAAAACCCTTGGACATGCAAACCCCAGAGAAGCCTGAGAACAAAACCAAGTTCCCCATCCCTTCTGTGACACATCTACATGCAGGGCAATATCACTGTTACTGTTACAGTTCAGCTGGCTGGACAGAGCGCAGTGACACCCTGGAACTGGTGGTGACAGGTGAGAGGACAGTCAGGGTCTCAGCCCCAGGCTCTGCTCTCAGGAGTATTCCCCTCCCAAGTCTCACCAAGGATAGAATTGAAGCTGTATGAGCACATGTATCAGTCTGCCGTCTTCTGTCCTAGGAATCTTCAACAGTAAACCCAGGCTGTCAGCCCTGCCCAGCCCTGTGGTGACCTCAGAAGGGAACATGACTCTCCAGTGTGTCTCAGGGGAGAGATATGACAAGTTCATTCTCACCAAGGAAGATCAGAAGTTCCTCAGCTACATGGACTCACAGTATATACACAGTACTATGCAGTACCAAGCCTTGTTCTCTATAGATCATGTAACACCAAACCTCACAGGGACATTCAGATGTTATGGTTACTACAAGCAGACCCCACAGCTGTGGTCAGTACCCAGTGACCCCCTGGAAATACACATCTCTGGTGAGTCACTCCCATCATTGACCAATCATTTTTGACACCCAATGCCTTTTGCTTAAGTTTCCCACTGTGTAGCTGCAGATAAAGAGTGAAAAAGGAAGAACCTTGTTGATGAACCAGATTCCTAGTACTCGGCTATGCAGTCACTTTTGCAGGGCAGGATGGGAGGACATAAGTGTTTGGTAACAACCATCTCCTCAATCACTAGCTCATCACCTTCCCTCTAGGCCTATCCAAGAAGCCATCCTTGCTGACTCACCAAGGCCATATTCTGGACCCTGGAAAGAGCTTCACCCTGCAGTGTTGCTCTGACATCAGCTATGACAGATTTATTATGAAAAAGATGAGGGTAACTGATTTCACCCAATACTATGCCATAGGGCCCACTTCACACTGGGCTCTGTGAGCACGCCTTCTGGAGGCCAGCACAGATGCTATGGTGCACACAAAAATGTTGGGGGAGACCACTTGCTTGTATCCGGCTCCTTAGACCCAAAATAATAACACAGCAATTTTGTTATTTGCAATACTCTTTGGCCAATAACTTAAACATATTTTAACTAGCTCTTATATCCCAAACTAATCCACCCCCTTTAATCCATGCATCACAATGAAGTTGTGGAATATTGTCAAAGTTTTGGCAGGCTCCATTTGAGGCATCTGTCTCTGGTGGAGGCTACGTGGCTTCTCTCTTGCTCTGCCTACTCTCTCTACATATATCTCTTCCAGTCTGCCTGTATTCTGTTAAGCCATTGGAGGAAAGCAGCTTTTTTATTAACCAATAAAAGCACACATACACAGAAGGACTTTCTACAGGACTCCTCTGTTCTGTTTCCTAGGACCCATTGGAGCCTTGACCCCACTACCCTCAAGGCCAATGACAACAGGTGGTGAGTATCAGGCATGTCACTTCAGGGAGTACACTCCATCCCCAGGCTGCCTCACTGCTCTTACTCCAGTGAAGTCCTCATTTCTGTCACTTCAACTAGTTAGGGAAGGAAGCAAAGGGATCCCAATAGACACCCCAGAAACCCGAGACTTAGAGGTTGAGGTACAGAATATGCAGAATGCGGTGTTGAGAGATAGATGTTCTGACTCAGTCTGGTGGATGGGACATGTGTGTGAGGTGGAGAGAAGGGATCCCAAACACTCACCTCCGCATCCTGCCTCTAAGACCTTGACAACAAACCTCTCACCTGCATGAATCTGGAACCAGAGGGCAAATAAGCACTCTGTTGGGAGGTGGGGTCCTGATGGGAAATAGCTTTTTATGGGCTTGATACATGTATTTGTTGAGATGTTAACTTGGACAAAGTCCTTCCCATTCTGTGCTGGCTGCTGTTTCTTTGAATATAAAGGGGAGAGGCCTGCCCGACATGTGTAATTTTTTTTCAGTTCTGGCCTTGAATGGCATCCATACTAATAAAGGAGGCTTCCAGAACCTGATTCTGTAGTGGGTCTCTCCCACAGTGGTGGTGACATGGGCAAGGGTGGGGCCCAGGGCCATGGCAGGGCGCTCAGGCTCCTTCCCTCCAGCTCATGAGACTCAGCTTAGATGGAGAGAAGAGCTGAAAGTCAGAGTCCCCGGGTTCATCTCCGAGCCCTGTCACTTCCAGTCAGTTGCTCTGAGGCAGGGGAACTGTGTAGAGGGAAAAACAGACAATTCCTTGTTGTGTGTTTGTGAGGATGGGAGATGATGAGTGCACAGACCCAGCACGGGCCTGGCACACAGTACACATTCCCCACTCATGATGTCACTTGTGCCTCAGGACTGGCTCTGATTGTTGTGCCTGTGGCCCCCGTCCTGGTCCTCATCATCCTCATCTGCCTCCTTCTCAGACGAAGGTATCAGAGAAAATTCAGGAAGAAAGGTGAGTACGGTCTGGGTGACCTGGGTCTCATGTGTTGATACGTTCCCCTGTGAACATCCAAGCAGGGGATCAGGACACCAACCCCAGGGAAACCTCAAACTGGGGCTGGGTTGTTTAGAAACACTTGCAGATCTCAGATCGGAAAGAACATGATCTCAGAACCTGTGCAACGTCAGGCATTCTGTGAGCTTTACCTTGTCCTGATACATTGGCTCACTCACCCATGTTGTAAAGGCTCCATCCTTCCTTCCCTGTACGTGCCTGGGGGAGAGGCTTCCTCCTCTCCTAGATGAGACTCTGTTCTCTCTTGCAGCCCAGGAAGAGACAGAATTGCAGCTTCCTGCAGGAACTGCAGGGCTAACAAACAGAGATGGGGGCCCCCAGAAGAGGTAACTCATAGCCAGAGACCTAGAGCCCCACCTCCTAGACAGACCTCACTGCCAAATGACATCCCCTTGTCTTTCCAGATCCAACCCAGCTGCTGCCACCCAGGAAGAAAGCCTTTGTGAGAGAAAGAGGGTCCCGGGGAGGGAGATGTCTGATGTCTCAGCATTGCAGGGGTGGTGGACAGGCCCTGGGATATTTTCTGTTTAGTCTGAACTTCACACTATAGACCACGGTGTATCTAAACCCTGGTTCTCTGTCCCTACCTGGGCAAGGCAGGAAACTAGGGGTTCCTAGACTCTGGTTGGGAGACATTCTGTTTTTTCTGCCATGACAGATGCTTCAGTGGAGGACATGAAAACTAAGGATGGTATTGAGCTGGACAGTTTGGTGAGGTCCCTGACTCCATCTGTGTGCTAAGAACTTAGGGCCTAGTTTAGTCCAGGGGGCCATCTTTGTTCCCCCTCTCTTGGCCCTCAACATCCACAGCTGACTACTCTCTTCTGCAAGCACCTGCCTTCTGTGTGCTATGACTTCACTCTTTCCTGGTTTTCCCAGCATCATGTGTCTCTTCACGCCTGTCTGCCTTCTGTCTCCTTGGCATCTGTCTGGTTGTCTTCTGATGGGACATCCCAGAGAGAAAGGCCCAAAGAAACATCTAACAACTGCAGGCAGGAACCATAGGGGCAGAAACATGTGGGGGTTTTTGTTTTGGGGGTGTGGGTGCTTTACAAACATGAATGTCTCTGCATCACATGCCTGCATGGTGCTCCCAGAGGCCAGAAGAGAGTGTCAGAGACCCTGGAACTAGTTACAGATGAACGTAGGTCGCCATGTGGGTTCTGGAACCAAACCTAGATCCTCCATAACACAGTCAGTGCTCATAATCACAGAGACATCTATTGCCCCCAAAAACATGATTTCAGGAAGGTGGACTGTGTGGGTACAGCCAAGACAGCAAGGGTTAGGGTGTCAGGATAAGAGGCCAGAACTATAGGAAGAAAGCCCTGGAATATTCCATCAGGGATGCTATCATCTGAACAGGTCACTCTGGTCATGTTGTGGAAAACTGGCCAGAGGAGAGCCCTAGGGGAACAAGGTGACACTATCTGTACCTCACTACTTCCCTGCTACAGAGACCACCTGAGGAAGACCCCACGGGAAAGACATATGCCGAGGTGAAACCCTCCAGGCACAGGAGTGCAGAAGTTGTCCTACCTTCTGTCCTGTCAAGAGAAGTCCTGGAAAGAAAAGATGGAAACAAAACAGAAGAGGGCAGAGAGATGGACACTTAGATTGGTCCTGTCTTCTCCAGGCCTTCACCATCCCCCAAGCAAACCATATACCCTCTTCTCATTCTCTCCTGCTCCAGGCTGCTGATTCAGAGGAGCCCCAAGATGTGGTCTATGCCCAGCTGTGTAGCAGGTCGCTCAGACAGGGGACAGCTGTACCTCCCTACTCCCAGGCAGGGGAAGCCACGGAGGAGCCCAGTGTATATGCTGCCCTGGCAGTCACTCGACCAGGTTTTGTTCCCGACGACAAGGAGCAATGACCTCTGCCTGCCAAGAGTCCTAACAGAGACCTCCAGAGATTCTGGGAACCCTTGCAAATCTGGCTGTACTATAACTAACATCATACATTCTAGAAATAAAATAGATTTCTTAATAATCAAGTGAAATGAGAAATGAAACAGAATGGAAGGGTTTTATACTGAGTACTAATTTTAATGACATTTCTCATCAAAGCTGTGCTATGAGAACATGTACAGGCATGGTTGCACAGATCCATAATCTCAACCCCTGGGAGGCTGAGGCAGGAGATTGCCTTTGATTCGTGGCCTTCTTGGGATATCTAGTGAATTTCATGCCAGCCTGGGCTACATAGAGATGTTCAAACAACATTAACCACCAAAGGCCAGAGTGGAGGTACACACCTGAAATCCTAGCACTTTGGAGGTGTGAACAGGAGATTAAGAAGTCAAGGCCATCTTCACCTACATAGTATCGGAGTTAACGGCCAGCCTGGAACACAGGTGACACTGTTTTAAAATAAATAAATAGGCAAGGCATAGTGGTGCACACCTTCAATCTCAACACTGAGAAGATAGAAACAGGCAGGTCTCTTTGAGTACAAGGCCAACTGGTCTATAGTGAGTCCTATGTAGCCAGGGCAGCATACAGACATCTTGTCTCAAAGAATAAACAATAAAATAGGGCCAGTGAGATGGCTGAGCAGTAAAGGTACTTTCCCAAGCCTGATATCCTAAATTCAAACAGCAGGAATAGGGGAGGAAGAAAACTGACGCCCACGAATTGTTCTCTGACCTCCACCTAAGTCTTTGATGTCTTCTCCACACCCAAGAAGTAAATAAAACAATTTTGAAAATAAACTAATAATCACAAATGAAAGCTGGGTATGGTGTGGTAGGACTGTAATCCCAACGGGGTTGCCTCAAACCTGCTATCCTTCTGCCTCTGTTTCTGGCATGTACAAGCATACATTCATTTTATTTTTTAAAGGTTTATTTGTTTTATTTATGCCTACGTATATGCATCTGTGTGCTCTTATGCCGTGTGTGTATGCGCATAGAGCCAGAGTTACAGGCGTTTGTGAGCCGCATGCTGTGAGTGCTGGGAGTGAACTCAGGTCCACAGCAAGAGCAGTGCATGCCCTTAACCACAGAGCCATCTTTCCAGCCTCCCTATATTTATTAAAATGTATTAACAGCAGAACACTATGAACAGTTTCATACCAATGTATTAGGAGCTATATATGAAATGGACAGATCCCTTGAGGTCAATGAAAGTTATTTTATTGCTTACAAAGTCTGGGGGAGGGGAGACTGTGTGCAGTATGTAGAACAAATGAAAAAATGTCATTTAAAAATCTAAATATTAACAAAACTAAATACAAAATCTGAGTGACTTCCCACACATTGAACACACTCACTAGAAAAGTTCCCCTTTGGAAATTCTTTCTGGAAGTTGGTGATTTTTTTTCCAAATGTCTGTGTATTTGAAATAAAAACATTATAAAACTAGAGAAAGATGAAATATAGACCACTGTAGTTTATCAATCCAGAAAATAATTATTAACAAAATCTGACAAAGGAAATCTTATTAAGAAAACCTAGGAAGAAAGTTCTTTCACATCAGCCTACAGGTGATCCCTTAAAAAAAATTAATGAACCAACGACCAGGGAGCCTGCACAGGACTGACCTATAGATCCTCTGCATATATATTACAGTTGTGTAACTTAATCTTCTTACAGTGGGAGCAGGGGATGACTCTGACTCTCTTGCCTGCTTTTGAACCCCATTCCTCTTACTGAATTGCTTCAACCAGTCTTAATAGAAGAGGAGGTGCCTAGTCTCATTGATAGACTAGGACTGGCTGATATCAAAGGGTGGTCCTCCATTTTCTAAATAGAAACAAAGGATTAGTGGATGGTTGGGGTTCAGAGTTGAGGGTGAGGAAGTGGGAGAAGAGGACAAAGAAGATTGGGATGTAAAAACAAAAAAGAAACAAAAATACGATTCAGCAATTTTTAAAAAAGGCATTACAACCACACTGATGGTTTTGTTTTTCTTATCTTTCTTCCTTTTTTGCTTTAATATTGGATTTTTGTTTGTTTTAAATATTGCCTTCCAAGACAGTAAGTAGTTTAAAAATTTAAAACTTTCTGGGCATGATGGCACAGTCCTGACATCACAGCTACTTCGGAGGCTGACACAGGAGGATATGAAATATAAAATCCACTTTAGCTGCCGAGTGAGTTCAAGCCATTCTGGGCAAATTAGGGAGATCCAGTCTCAAAATAAAGGGTAAAGGCCTAGGGTATAGCACTTGCCTGGTATTCAGAACTCAATGACTTATCACTGGAAGGTTTCTTTCCTGGTTCTCTGTTATTGTCTTTCTTTCCCTTTTTTAATGTACATCAGACATAATATAACCCAGCTGACCTCAAACTTGCTATTTAATTGCTGCTGAACTTGAGGATTGGGAGGGATGGAAACTTGGATTAGTATGTATAACGAAAAAACATAGTTGTTTTCTTTTTTTTTCTTAAAAAAAGCATGGCACTGGTAGGTCTTGAGGTAGACTACCAATTTTCTTAGAAACTGCCATACTGATTTTCAAAGTGGCCATACAAATTTACATATTCACCAACAGTGGAAGAGTGTTCCCCTTTCACCACATCCTTTCCAATATAGGCTTTTGTCAGTGTTTTTGATCTTAGCAATTCTGAAAAATATAAGATGATATCTCAGAGTTGTTTTTATTTGCATTTCCCTGATGACTAAGGATGTTGAACAATACCTTATATCTTTCGACCATTTGAGACTCTTCTGTTGAAAATTCTCTATTTAAATATGTACTCCATTTTAAACTGGATTATTTGATATTTTGATGTTTAGTTTCTTGAGTTCTTTATATATTTTGGAGATCAGTCCTCTGTCAGATGCAGGATTGATGAATATCTTTACCTATCCTGTAGGCTGTTGTTTTGTCTTGTTGACAATGTCCTTTGCCTTACAAAAGCTTTTCAGTTTCAGGATGTCCCATTTATTGATTGTTTCTGTCAGTGTTTGTGGTGTTATAGTTAGGAAATTGTCTCCTGTGCCAGTGCATACATGGCTACCTCCCACTTTCTCTTCTATCCAGTTCAGTGTAACTGGATTTAGGTTGAGATCTGAATTTTGTACATGGATCTATTTGCCATATTCCACATGTTGACATCCAGTCATGCCAGCACCATTTGTTAAATATGCTTTCTTTTTTCCATTGTATGGTTTTGGCTTCTTTGTCAAAAACCAGGTATTCATAGATGTGTGGCCTATGAGCACAAGAGTTCATTAAGACAGCTTTAGACTTTAGTCCTTGGTTTCTACAAGCAAGGGGCTTTAATATTCCTGACTGGGAGCAGGTAAAAGCTGACCTTCAAAAAGCATTAAAAGAATGAGGGCCAGAAGAATTTCTCAAAGCAACATTTTCACTATGGCGCTTAGTCGGAGATGCTCTTCTCAGTGATGATGTAAAAGTAAAAGAGCAATTAGAGAATTTGGCCAAAACCTTTGAGGAGATCCAGGATGTAGAATCTGTGAAGTCTATTAAGAGCTTTGAGGAGGGGGGAATTAAAAGTACTAAAAGGCATATAGAAGAGGAAGACAAAATTTTAGAAAGGGAGATTGCACTGCTAAAAAGGAAGTGAGAAACAGAAGAAAGGAAGGAAGTAAACAGAGATGTCTCCATGAGACTTCTGCAGCAAAATCCATTCCTTGCCGCCTCACATCCTTTTGCTGCTGCTTCTGTCCCTATTGACTTACCGGTGGAAATCTGAGAGAGTCAAGATAGGCTAAATAATCTAAGTAGAGAAAGGCAAATTTGCCCTGTTGTGGAAGCTCTTGATCCACAAGGAGAGAGGATCAGGCAGCATAACTCTCTGGCCTTTAAGGACATTAAGCAACTAAGTGAAACAGCTACAGCCTATGGGACTCATGTTCCCTTCACCGTGGCTTTAATGGACTCCATTGTGGAACTTACCCTTACATCTAGTGACTGGATACACCTTTGCAGGACTTGTCTTTCAGGAGGAGATTATTTGTTATGGAGAGGTGAAATGCAGGAAAATTGCACAAATACCTCACTGCGTAATACCATTGCGGGTTTCCCCTAATGTAACCTTGACATGTTAACTGGTGCAGGACAGTGTGCGGGCTTAGCAGCACAGATTACTTATGACCTTGCTGTTTATGCTCAGATAGCTGCCGTGGCTGTTTAAATGTGGAAAGCTTTATTTACCTAATAAGGAGCAGGGGAACAACTGTCTAAGGTCCTTCAAGGACCCTCAGGACCTTATCCTGAGTTTGTTGACTGCCTGTTACAGCGGGGATGTCACATTTTTGGGGATGTGGACACAGCTATGCCTGTCATAAAACAATTGGCCTATGAAAATGCTAACAAATACTGTCAGGAGGCTAGCCCTCCTCATAGAAATAGGAGTTTAAATGACTATATTCAGTTTTACAGGGACATTGACGGCACTCATATGATGGGACAGGTAATTGTTTCCACATTTAGGGGAAGTCAAGGTGGAGCTAGATCAAGGACTTGTTTTCAGTGAGGGCAATGGGAACATTGCAAAAGGAATTGCCAAAAAAAAAAAAAAAGAAAAAGAAAAAGAAAACCAAAAGGAATTGCCCTGTGGGTAAAGGGACAGTTATTCAGACCAGGCAAAATCTAGGTGTTTGCCCAAAATGTCAAAAGGGGGCCTATTCGGCTAATGAGTGCCACTCTAAAACTGACATTCAAGGAAATCCCATTCCTGTGTCAGGAAATGGGAGGAGGGGCCTGCCACAGGCCCCCAAAACACAAGTGTACGGGGCCATGAGCAGACCGGCTGTTCACATCAGATTCGTTCCTCAAAGAAACACCTCACTGCCCACGACCTTGTCTGGGGCACCCCAGGAAGTGCAGGACTGGACCTCTGTCCCTTTGCCTGGGCAGTTATTAACCCCATAAATGGGTGTGCAGCCTTGGGGACTGGAGCATATGGACCTATTCCAGAGGGTTCAGTAGGTATAGTCTTGGGTAGGAGTAGTTC